TGTAATTAAACAGCTGAATTAAGTCACTCAGTTTACGTTAAAAATATGGTTTAATCTGGTAAGAAAATACAAACTGGAAAAAGAGCTCAGACTGCTTCGATGGATAGCTTATGATAAGGGTTCTATTGGTTCTATGAACCAAAGATGTAAACAGTGGATTCCTAATGGATTAACAGCAATAAGTACACTAATTAAAGATGGGAATTTTATGACCTTCCAGGAGATTAAACAAAATATGATCTAAGCAATCAAGATCACGATAGATATTTGCAGATTAGGGACTTTTTTAATAAAGAAGTAAAACGTAGTGTAAATCTGGATAAAAATTCAATAATCAAAACCATAACTGAAGCCTACAATGCAAAAAAAAATTAGAATAATCTCTACAATTTACGAGCATATAATGGAGGCAAGATGGTGTACAACAATGTATGTAAAACTGTGGCACAGAGAGTTGGGAGTGAACATATCTGATGAGGAATGGTCACAAATTTGGAAAACACAGCAGGCAACAACATCATCATCACGTGTCTGGAGATTGCACTGCTGGAAAAATGTAATTAGATTTTTTATAACACCCCAAATTAGGAACAAACACACTTCATTCACACTTTCATGTGTTCTGGTTCTGTCCCAAGATCGCAAAATTTTGGGAAGATGTTCATTTAGTTATAGGTAAAATTCTGGGTTATGCTGTATCTAAGTCTTGTACATTATTATATCTTGGTGTCATTACGGGAAATGTGATGAAAGAAGATAGAAACATATTGAAAATTATGCTTGCAGCCGGTAAAAAGGCAATCACAAGGAAATGGTACAAGACAGACCCACCATCGCAGGATGAACGGATCAATATTATAGACGAAATACAAATTATGGAACAACTGACTTACAAAATAAGGACTCAGGAAGATCAATACCATCGAAAGGGGGAGAAATGGACTGATTACATAAACTCGACAGGATAAAGACCATCACATTGATCATGAGAAACGATCAAATTGTAATAATAATAATAATAATAATAATAATTTATTTTATTATTTTTTATTTTTATGTTCTGTTTTGTTGTTACACTCTATCTCCCTGTACAATGTTTAAAGAAAACAATAAAAAGAAAGTATCAAAAAACAGCTATGGGTGCAATCAGACCACAAGTTAGACGAACAAAACTGAAGCATAAAAATATCCATCTAAAACGATTTTGGGGGCTGTTGACATTTTATTTTCTCCATAATTCTTTCAACTAAATTTACCGTGACACATGAGTGCGACTCATGTTTACAGCCAGGTCGTGCAGGATACCGAAAGACCTTACCTGTGGGACTGGGGGCAAACCTGACCCTCACCTCCCCCTGCACCGTTGAGCAGCACCTGTCGCCTGCTGCACGCAGCTGGAGCTCTGTCCGTCTGTTTCCGTCCGGCGTGAGGCAGCGAAACCCCCGGCGGACCTCCAAACTGTGCAGAAAAGACCGCGTACAGGTTTTAAACCACCGCGACATGATGACAGGTCACGAGGACACGAGCAGCATCCTCCGGGGTTTTTCACGCTCTCCCTCGCGCGCTGACCCGGCCGCGGTTAGGCACAGTTAGCCACGAGTGTTGCTAAAACCGCAGTAAGCACAAAAACAGCAACACACTAACAACAGTAGCAAAAAGACAAAGTTTGTCCACACATGTGCAAAAGCTCAACCGTGTTTATTACGTAGGTTACGTTCTTCTTCGTTGAAACTAAACCGGAAACGAATCCTTCAGACGTAAACCTGCTTACCGCCGCCTGTCGGAGGAGCGCTCGCTTCTTCCTTTAGGTTTCCTGGTGGCAGCACTGCCCTCTACAGCTGACTCTGTGTATAATTCAGCATCGTTTCATTTGGATGCCAAAACGAAATAAGAGCCGGTAGCTTTTATACTTGAGATAATATTTCTTTTATCTCGTGCATCCAGGTTGTTTGGTTGTCTTATTCTACTGATGTCAGACTCATTTTACATGGTGGGCCACTTTAATATTAACCTGGCCCAAATTGTATGAAATAAACACGTAAAATCAGAGAAAAAGTTCTGGTAGGTCATTGTCGTCATTTTTGTTAATCCCCAGAAAATGTCCTACTTTATTTGCACATTTATTTATTTTACTGTGGATGTATTGTTAGAAAATAATAATAAAAAATAAATAAATAAAAATGAAAACAAAAATCTATCTATATTAGATAATGGAAAAACAGGAACGTTTCTGTCATTTAATTAAATCTACTG